AATTAGCCAAAATTACGAAAACAGTCAACAATTATTCACAATGTTATTCGAAGAATTTTACAATTTATATTCCAAAAAATTTCATTCGGATAATTATCTTGAATAAATATTTATTCAAAATAATTCTGTCTCGTGTAAACAATACATTTAGATCATTAGTCAGATGAAATCAGAACATAAATAATATTAAATTGTGCCAAACTTTTGTTATCGAAAGAACGAACCGAATTAAAATAAAATTATAATAAAAACATATAATCTACTTCTTCTAACTTCAGAATTGAAACATGAATGCCTAAGAGTTCTAAGAGTAAATTATGTAAAATGATTCACGACTTATCCTTGATGAAAAACTACACGTTTTTAACTAAGTACTATGACGTCATAAATTGAAGGCATAAATTCCAAAAATCCATTTTTTAACATTATATGAATTATCGATACAACCGTGTTTCGATCACTGAAAATCTAATACAATTTAAACCGAAACAGTAACGTACGAACAAACGATCGTCACAGAAAAGAAGGACAGCTAATTAACAGCAATGAAACAAGGAAGTGAAACAAGTAAGATGTATGTTCTTAGTTGATCGGTTGGTCGGTCTTTGTTGGTCAGTTTTGTAATGGCTTGAATTATTTTACAACTCAGGCTTCATTTCCCAAGCGCAATACTTTCTTTCCGCGTTTAATGTTCGAATAATTGCAGGCGGCAAAGAGTATTGCGTAAATCATTCTACTTTGTGGGGCCACGGAAAAGAAGCTTAATAAGAGATTGCTCGGGACAATGTGAACGGTCGTGTTGTACGACAGCGTTCACGCCCAACTCGCTTTAATCGAGGCTCGATAAACGCGCTCGAGGAGCAGCGATCGATTCAATTATCCGTTTAATCAATGGACCATTGTGATCGCTGGAGGAAAATAATTTACGGGCCGCATGGAACTTAACACCGCTTCTTCATGCTGCGAACCCGGCGGGAGGCTCGCCGTAAAATTGATAGATCACGAAGGTGCGCTCTCCGGGTACGCGTGGCAATTTACGTTACCTGGACTTTGTCAGCTGACTAGGCGACTGTCCGAGGATGCGTAACGGAAACGAGCCAGCCATGGGACCGGCCAAGCTGTTTGCAAACGAATACCCATGGTCTCTCAGAGCTCGATTTACGATTTCGTGAACTTCTGTGTCCCATTTACCGGGCACTGACTTCGCGTTTTCGTGATCACTGACTTCGCATTTCCATGATCACTGACTTTGCATTTGTACGAACACTGACTTGGCATTTATACGAACACGAATTCGCATTTTTATGGAAACCACAACGTGGTTCGTTGACCAGAATATGCCCCGTATTGGACAGTAAATTAGACGTAATGTTCGTCGATGTTCGTTAATATCGATGATTTATTCTGTCTACAGTCTACATGCGACCACTCTAATCTACTTCAGATTACCCTAAAGTTTACCTCAACATTGAACATTTCAGTGTTTTCATACTTATTCCTCGTTGTATTTTCAAACACTCGTGTTGCTTCGAACACAAGTGTTTTGTTCGAATCAATCAGTTTGTAAACTGCTATTGATTTTATTTATACTATAAAATTATACTATAAGTATAAATTAAAAGATCTAATATCATTTTTATTTTCTTTCACCATCGAGTTAACTTCTTTATACTGTATTTTTATTCTATAATTTTATGATGCTATAGCAAATTTTATGGTGCCATTATACTATAATTTTATAATGCTATAGTAAATTATGTGTTGCCATTATACTATAATTTTATAATACTATAATACATTTATACTGTTATGAATTTATACTATAATTTTATAATAAAAAAGAATATACTTTTATATTATTATAAATTTATACTATAATTTTATAATAATATAATACTTTTATATTATTATAAATTTATACTATAATTTTATAATACTATAATACTTTTATATTATTATTTTTATTTCTCGTAACGTCCATCTCCAAAACTAATATGAAAATTTATTAGTTGCCCCGACGAAAATATCTTCAATCAAGAAGAAAACAAGGGAGCAATTAACGACGAGCTCGATAAATTATCAGAGAAAAATAACAAAATGAAATTCCATGAAAGGTCTGCTATAAATAGAGCATCTCGAGAACAATCGAGACTTTCAAAGAGTGTCCTTAAATAAAATCAATTCATGAGGAATCCAACTCGCCGAAGAAAGTTGCGAATCTCGATCGGATCGTTCGAAAACAGATCGTTCTTTCTCCATGAAACTTCGATCCGCATCACAGCGATGCATCGAAGCGTAATTATTTTCCAGCCGTAGCGAGCGCCGCGTTTCCGTTTGAAATTGATTGCACGCCGCTCGAATAAATTTCAGCAAATGTTTGTATTCTAATTAAAATCGATGTTATATTATCGGCAAGATATCCCTGTTCGCAGCGAACTAATTCACGGATGATTCTTTCGCATCCGTTAATTCGTGGCCCGAGCGAGAAGCACGTTTCGCCAGCGAAAGCGGGAGACCGATTAATTAAAGTATCACCGGCCCGAACAGATGTTATGATTTTTCATTTGGCCGACAGCGTTTTCTCGTTGACACGTCCTTTCAAATTAACGCGAAAACACCGGGCAGCGACACGTACCACATCATAGAGACGATTTTGATCGAGCTTCTCTCCCACGGAAGAGCTGTTATCCAACGCGGTTCGTTGTTGCTCGCTCGAACAACATTGCCGGCCACTCGGGATCCTTTCGTCCTGTTTCAATTCCTGAATCCCTGAAAACTGGCCGCGCGAAACGCATACGAGATCACCGTTCGACGCGAACACCAACGATCGAACAACGAGCACACGCGCAATGCAAACAACGAAGCTAAGCGATCATTTCGATGAAAGCGTTCGGGAAAAACTCGCTCGGTCGATTTAACGCGTCCCGATCCTCGAAATTACTATGCACACGAAGAACCACTTGCGGCCACTTCTAGACAGGAAATGCGTGGAGTGACGGTCCGCAGACGACTGAAACCTTCGGACGGCACACCAAACCGTGTCCATGTGTTTCCTCTCGTGTGTTGCTCGTAGACTCACACAAGCTCGTCCAGAGCCATGCCGGCATAACGATATTCATGGAAATCTTACTGCATTAGAATTTATTCCACGATAAAGGCCCGCCACTTGTGCGCCCGAACGAGCCACCGTCACTTGTTGATCCAAGGAAACGATCACGTACACGCACCTTGCTTCCTCGACGGCGCCGGAACGGAGAGCTAATCGACTGGCTCTACCGAGCGAACTGTGGACAGCTAAGTGCTCGGGAGACTTTGGAATTAAGACGTGATTCCTTCGGAAACGAGTAAAGTCCTCTACAAAAGTAAATCGTCGGTCCTGCGATATGAAGAAACTTCTTCGCAGAAATCGAAAGTGAAACACCGAAGTTCGACGAACACTTTCGACACGAATCGTGGACCACGCGGTGTACTTATTCGAACAGCTTTTACACGGAAGCTGCGATTGAAACATTCGAGTCCCTCCGGCGAGAATGAATAAAGTTTTCAGCCTCCGTTGAAAAGTAAACCGTGGATGCACTACGAAGCGCGTCGAAATGAGAACGGTAAAGTTCACCGAAAACGATTCTTCTTAGATCATGCGACGAACGTTCATGGATGCATTACACTCACCAAGTGCGTCAAAATGAGAACATTAAAGTTCTCCATCTTCGAAGACAGACCGAACTGTGGTAACTAACCGATCACAAGACGAACTATACAGATATCGCAGAGCAAGCTGCGATTCACAGAACAAACTCGAAGTTCACGAGCACAAACATCGAAGTTCCACTTTGCGGGCAGAGCTGCTGATCAAAACTGAACCGCCGAAAGTTTGAAGCCGGTTCGAAGCACCGTGTGAGTGACTTTCGCGGAGCAACGGGTGTCGAAGCACCGAAGTTCAAGGGCGGAAACGGGCGAAGCACGTATCACGTTTGGTCCGAGGTGTCTGTTGGACGGGAATCAAAATCGGAACACGGGTTTTTTAAGGACGGCGAGAAGCGTCGTCTGCGTGGCCCGACGTCGGCGGGAAATGTTCGGGTCGGGTCCGGCGCCGCGATTCCAGGAAAATGGAGAACCGTGCGAAAAGTCGTG